CACTAATTCCAATGGTACTTCATTATTCAAACCATCTTTGAAGCTTTCTTCTTGGAAGCACCTTGAGAACCTGCAGTCTGATCTTTTCACTATCCCAAATGGTGCTAAATTTTCATTGAGGGTGGCTTCGAATTTTGGAAATGGTGAATAGTCACTCAGAGCCAAGCTTAGTGAATAAGATGTGTGATCAAAGTAGATGGAACTATTTTGGTTGAAAATGTTAAATGATCATAAAGCAATGAGATGTATCCTCTTATGTGATATGTAAATTGACTTTAAAGGGAATTCCAGATGAGTAACAAGGAGTATGAAAATGGAATAGGTTTATACATTCCCTTCCCCCAATTAATTTCTTTGAATGACAACATTCATTTGGATATATAAGCTCCAGTAAGAGGTTTGTTTTGTTTAATCACCTACAATTTGTAAATAGAAGGGTCCTTAGTATACTGGATCTAAAATGTCATGGGGGAAAGGGATTGTCACTTAACTAGAAATATGGCATGGCACGCAGGAAAGAGTACAAGCTTCATGGGACTGACCTGGATTAGAATCTTAACTTGGGATTCTTCCTGCTTGTGCGACTTCAGGGAAGTCACAAGCTGTCAAGACTTTAAAATAAGGCTGATATCTAATTTTGCAGGGTTGTTGTAAAGATTATGGATAATGGGTGCAAAGTCCCTATATTGGGCCTGGCATGTGGTAGGTTACTCAAGAAGTCACAGCTATTAACATCAGTAAAATCAAGACCATTTCCTGACTGTAGGTGGCTTGAGAGTACAGAACAACAGATAAACAGTCACTTGAGTGGTGAGTAGTTCACTGACAGTACTGACAGTACACTTATGGATTGGATACTGCTTTCTTAAAAACAATAATCTGTAAAGAATATTTGTAGTAACTAACATTACATATTTAATTCACATGACACATGTCATCTGCAGTGTTCCCACCACATGGACTTCTTCACTACTTGAACATACCAGGTACTATCATGACCCCATGCCTTTGCATACTTTGTCCCTTCTGAGATACCCTTCCTGCTCTCTGGTCTGGTAACAACCCTACAATTCTAGCTCAAAGTCTGGCTCAAAAGACTAGCTCAATTCAAAATCTAGCTCAAGAAATTCCATTTGACACAGCAATTCCATTACTGAGTATATATCCAAAGGATTATAAATCGTTCTATTATAAGGACATATGCACACGAATGTTCATTGTAGCACTGTTCACAAAAGTAAAGACTTGGAACCAACCCAAGTGCCCATCGATGAAGACTGGACAGGGAAAATGTGGCATATATACACCACGGAATACTATGCAGCCATAAAAAACGATGAGTTTGTGTCCTTTGTCAGGACATGGATAAACCTGGAAACCATCATTCTCAGCAAACTGACACAAGAAAAGAAAAACACCACATGTTCTCACTCATAGGTGGGTGTTGAACAATGAGAACACATGGACACAGGGAGGGGAGCATCACACACTGGGGTCTGTGGGGAGCGGGGGACTAGGTGAGAGACAGCAGGGGGTGGGGAGTTGGGGAGGGATAACATGGGGAAAAATGCCAGATACAGGGGATGGGGAGGAAGGCAGCAAACCACACTGCCATGTATGTACCTATGCAACAATCTTGCATGTTCTTCACATGTACCCCAAAACCTAAAACACAATAAAATATATATATATTAAAAAAAAGTCATTTCCACTACAGTCTCTTCCCTGCATGCTCGAGACAGAATTAGTGGCCCCGCCAACTGTACTTCCAAGACATTTGGTTCCTGTCTCTGTAATGCCTCATACTCTATTGAATTCTTATTTCCCTTTCATTTCTGCTTCTTCCACTAGGCTTACACATTGAGAAGAGGACTATATTCCATTGATTTGTGTACTTAGAGCACCTAGTACCTCACTTGGCATGAGGTAGGAACCTAGGAGATGTCTGATGAATCAATGTTCTAAATATACTTTGTAAATAACTGCTGGAAGACAGGTAACTGCCTTTTGTGAACTATATTACCAGCAATCACATTCCTTTTTTCCTGACTTCAAACAAGAGACAAGATAACTTACATAGACTCCAGAATGTCTTCTGAATCTGGAGCATACAGAAGTTTCCAAACATTACTGATCTCATCAGTACCCCGTGGCCACATGATGGAACCCACAGAACAACATTTCTCAGCCTTTGTTCCAGTCTAGCACACCTGAGGGATATACCATACTCCCATCAGGAGCTCACCACAGATGACTAAGAAGGCCCAGCAGAGTTTTCTCACAGCCTTCCAGTGCTACACGGCTGCCAGAGTGGAAGGGCCTTCTCTGAACCAGCAACTCCATCAAAGTAGCAGAAAATTTCAAGGCTCCATGGTGTGTGCAGGGAGCCCACCTAATGCTGCCTACTCCCAGATCCCTACTACCCAGAATGCCTCGGAATCGGTTTGCCTATTCTAAGAATAGGACTCTTTCACTGTTAGGAAGCCTTAGGCGTTCAAGGAAGGACTTCTTTGTGGGTCCAGTACATCTGTTTCAGCATGTCTTAACCTGCATAATTAAAAAGCAATTATGAAAAGAAGTTCATGATCAACCAGTCCTGTGCCAGATGGAAACAGGCAGAGGGTCATCTAGCAGCCCGGCACATCTGACTGTTGACACTTGTGAATCATTCTCTGTCACTGCAGTTTCCAGAGCCTTGTCAATGCAGCAGTGGGTTCAGATTTACCAAGATCCAAACGGCTGGAAAGGGGATCTGGAGCCATGGCCCACGCTTTGGGATCCACCAAACCATAAGAGTGACTATTTCTGTGACAAAGACATAATCTGCAAAGTAAAGACAGCCATATTCTACCTTAGTGCCATGTTCTTTCTCATCTCTCCAATGGAATGGCTGCACTCTGAAGGTGGGAAGAGGGCAAGAAGAAAGAGAATGAGACCACAGACTACTAGGAAAGCAGTGATTGAAAGCAGCAGCTCTAGATTTCTTTTATAGGATCTGGAGAGTTATTCACTTATTCATCCCACAAATATTTATTGAGCCAGGTACTAATCCAGGTATGCAGGCTATAATACTGACACAGTCACGGCCTTGACACCATGGAGCTTTAAGTTTAGTAGGGGAGGTGGGTATTAATCAAATAAGCACACAAATACAAGGGTACAAATATGCACTATGATGGAGGAGTAGTGCCTACTACAGGAATTGCAGAAACAGGGAGCAGTAGATCTGTGAGGGAAGTCAGGAGAGCTTCCCTTAGCAAGTACCAAGTGAGGATAAACAGGAGTTCACTAGGTCTGGAGGAGAGGAAAAGAGAAGGAAACATTCCTGGCAAAGAGAACAGTGTGTGACAACCTCCTGGGGTAGGAAGGAGATGTTGAATTTGTTTAAAATTAGAGGCGGGGGCAAAGCAGTGGCATCAAGGTTTAAATCCCCACATAAGGTATCTTCCTGTGTACACCCCTCAGTTTTCTTTCTAGTTATAGGGAAGGCCTTCCTCGGCATGGAAGGGGACTAAAGCACAATGTCAAAAACTAGGAGTGCTCAGGAGACATGAAACACTACCAGCTAAAAAACCAAATCTGATTTACCAACAATACCTGGCCAATGTCTTCTTGAAATATCTAAGATTAAGGAACCCACTACCTCTGACAACACAGAATCAGGAAAATGGCACAGTATAAAAGACCTTTAAATTTTTCAGGTAGAAATACATTTTAATCCAGGTAGAATTAAAATATTGATAAATATGTTGATAATTACTACAAATCTGTTTAGATACCAGGTATTTCATTGTAATTTCATATATTAATTTTTTGGAGGAAAGGGCTAAAGGAAAAAATGGTTAAACATAGCATCAGTGCAGCACTATTTTGCTTTGGCAACTCTGTTAGCCTGTTTGATCACTTGAGGCAGTTTCTTATGGCTTCTGAATTATATGTCACATTGCAAACAAGTTACGTTGCTTTCTGTTTGTAAACCAGTTTGTAATCAATTATGAATTGGCCTCCCTATCCTTCTGAGATTATACTCATTCTACAGATAAAACAATAGATAAACGAGTTGCCCAAGGGCACAAAACAATTCAGCTTTTACTTATCTTTCTTATCACCATCTCCAAACAGAAGACACACATGGCTTGTCTAGCTACAGCAACAACCCTACTGCCCTGCAGACCAATCCTAACCCCCTGGCGCAGCAGAGGAAGGTACTGCAGTTAGTTCTGTTAGGGCCAACAGTGATAATGTCTGCACTGTGTTTGGGACACTGGCACTCCAGACCAGAACATGAACTCAAAGTGGAATAAAAGCACCTAGAAAGTCACAATGACTCACAAGTTAAAATGTCACCTTCCCTAGGGAGACTGCATACTTAACATACAAACATTCCCCTAAGACTTCCTTTCATCCTCAACAAGCAGCCAAGACAGTCGGCCCCCATAGTACAGCACAGCACAGTACCGTAAGACATCTTAAGTGTACAAGTCCTTCTTCACCCCTTGGCTGAGACCACCAGCATCTAAAGCACCTAGCATAGGTTACAGTATACAAATGTTTACTGAGCACATGTCTTTCCAACTAGCAAAGAACGGAAACTTAAGAGATCAGTTAGGCCAACTTCTTATTTTACAGAAAGGCCAAAGAAGGGCAGAGAATCATCAAGTTACATATAGCCTGGTCTCCAATCCAAGTCTTTGGGCTCAGTGTAGTTCCACAGACATTTTATTTGTGCCTACTATTTGCCAGATACAGTGGGTGGGAGGCGCTGGGGACACTAAGACGTGCAGGAGATGGTCTCAGCTTCAGGGAGCTCACAGCCTGGGGAAAGAGAACAGTTACAGAACAGTCGAGCAGGACAGGCGCTTGAGTCCTTTGCCAGTGCTTTCTCCACACTGTGCACTGGGTGTTCCCCATCTGGAAAAGGACAGCAATATCTACTTCCTGCAAATAAACTTGTAGTGAAGACTGATGAGAAAATGCGTATGGAAAATGATCAGGCTCACCCTGAAATGCATTATATAAGGTATTGCCATACCCTGACACTGACTCCAGGGATTCAACAATGTTTCAGGTATCCGTTCAACAAAGAAGCCAACAAGCAAAGGACGGGTATAAATCCAAGGAAAACCCCAAGGGCTGCGAGGAACTGGAAGAGACAGCTGGGGTGGGGGTAGGGGTATTGGGTCAAGTGAGACGGCCAGACGCGGAGAATGGAGGACACGCAGCGGGACAGAAGAGGATGGAACCGAGAATAAGAAGTTGGGACAGCAATGAGGGAGAGCAAGCGGAGAGAAATGGGGTTCCCTTGGGGCACGACGAGTCTCCCGGCGGGGCCCTTCCGGCTGTGGCCGGGCAGGGGCTGAAGGCACCTGGCACTGGAGGAGGAAGAGGGCGGGCGCCGAGGCCGACTGTTTTGCCTGGGAGTCGCTTGCACTCGCAGGGAAGCTCAGGCAGGCGCCCGGGTCTTCGGGCTGCAGCATCTCGCCCGCCGTGCCTCCCTGGAGCCGAACACCAGCCCGCGCCTGAGCCCGTAGCGCGGACTCCTGGAGTCGCCAACGCCGCCGCCTCACCTCGGGTTGAAGTCCTGGAAAAGGCCCCTCAGGTTCATGGCGGAGAACTTCACCGCGGCGTCCTTCTCCCCCGCAACCCGTGCTGCACAGCTTGCGCCTTACAGCGGGTTCATGGCGCCAGTGCCAGCCGCGTCCCCACTGCCGCTCCCGCTACTGTTGCAGCCGTCGCCGCCGAAGCCGCCGCCGCCGCCGCCCCAAGAAACCTGAACCACCGTTCCCCGCCCCTCCTTCCGGGCTTCCGTACGGAGGCCGCGCATGCGCTCGGAGCCCCGCCCAGAGCTACCCGGGCGGAGAGGCCACTGGCCCTGTGTCAGCACCCGGCTGGCGGAGGAGACCCCAAAGGGTATGGAGGCTGGGAGTGAGCAGGGACCCGAGGAAGATGATGCTGACGGGTTGAATGCCTGCAGGGAGGGAGTGCGCCGCCCAGGAGTCTGGCGGGCATGACTTGGCAGACACCTGTCACCTTGGCCCGCGCTGCCTTCTGGAGCTTTTCCCTGGTGATGACTGAGCCCTGGGAGTAGTGACAACGAGTGAGATGTTACATTTTGGCAATGTTATCCCAGGCTTCACCTGTCAGATCTGTCAGCGACTCCAAAGTTTGGGTCCCAACTTCCCTTCCAATTCCCAAGGCAGCATGTCCAGATATGCCGGCTATTCCAAACTCAAGTTACCTAGCACCAAAATCACTTACTCCCGACTGCCTTCCCCTCCTGGGTTCCCTTTTTCCCTTAGCAGCAGGCCTATTCGTAAGGGATATTCAAGCTGAAGACGTGGAAATCATCGTGACGTTCCTAACCCAGTTCAGAGCCTCCTTGGATCCTGTCTAAACTTTGTGGTCACTTCACACCTGGCCTCTGCCTCCACTCCAGGCTGCCCTACTGCCAAGTTCATCTTCCTTGGGCAAGTCAACATCTTTGAGTCTCAGTTTTCTCTGCAGAATGGAGATGATAAAAACCTATTTTCTAAGCATGTTAGGAAGATTAAGTGAGACAGAGTGCATAACACACTGCCGGGTACGTGCTAGGTGTTCAAAGAATGCTGTTGCTGCCTGGTACTCTTTCAGGTGCCTACCTCCTCAAGGATTTTGTTTGCTTTTGGAATCCAAGAGCAGGACAAGCTTACAGCAGATGACCTAGTTTACCATCTTCACTCAGGGCAGATTTAAGTTTTCATGAGCACAGCAATGCCTTAAACATTAGTCTAGTATCATTATGGATAATAGTCATCCTTTGTTGCAATAGCAGTTTCACAAATGACAATTTTATACTGTTTAGCCCCAAGGGCAGCTTGAGAGGATCACAATTACGATAGTCATACTTAGCCTTGATGTATCACCTTTCTTAGAATGTGAAAACATTTCATAAGTGATAATTAAGCTTCCCAACACCCACTGGGGAATGGATATTATTATACAAGCCGATTTTAAGGATGAGTATTCCAATCAACTTTTCATCTGCTGAAGCACCAGGACCTTGTCCCAGACTTTTTGGCCCAGCTTCCTTTCCCATCCTTTGGGTAAAGTCCAATGTGTAGCCCAGAGGAGGTTTTCCATGAGCACTCAAATACAGATGAGGAACTAAGGCACAGAGAAGCTTGTGTAATAAGCCCTGAGCCACCCAACAAGTAAGGGTGGAAGAGTACAGATGCAACACAGCATCTAGCTGAACCTGCATCCCACACAATTAGAAAGAGGTGCTTGCCAGTAGTCATATTGAACAGCACCATCTTCATTACTCATGACTGTGCCCCAAGCAGGCATGAGGAGATGGCCTGTCAGTTCAGACACTTAAATAACAGGCACTATTGGCCTTTCAAGAGCTTCATAGTTAGAGGCCAGGCAGGCTCCTCAGAGTTCAGAGCCTTGAGGGAAGATGCTACTTTAGTGAGATTCCCAGGGAGTCCTGGAGCTGAACCACTGCTCTGCAGGCCCACAAGTTCAATTTTAGCAGTTCTCCCAGAGTTGGCCAGGCCTTGGGAGCCATCTAGCAAAAGCAACAGGGCACCGACACACAAATTACTTGTCAGTGTATTCTTTTGTTCTGACAAGGTAAATTGCCAACAGGAGCATATGAACCTGTCTGTGAGGAAAAACAGGAAGAACTGGACTATCCCAAGGCCTCACATCCCCAGTCTTCAAGAGGTGGATTACCTGGACTGCCTCAACTACACTGGAAGCCCAGCCCTGTACACTACTGGTGCTTTCATGGAAGAAAAAGAAAACAACCAGAAACCAGATGTCCACCTGGTCCTCTCTTCAGCAAGTGCAAAAGACCCTACTGACAACCTGCTGCTCACCTCAGAGACCTCACTCAGTGTCTCACCCTACATGGAGGTCCAAAGCCTCAATTACCTGGGTAGACAGACCCACGAGTAATCCTGACATTAAAGAAAGACCCTGGGCCATATGCAGGCATCAGGAGTGTTGGGAAGCTTAATTTCCACTTATGAAATGTTTTTACATTCTCAGAAGAAAGGCGATAGATACATCAAGGCTAAATATGACTAGTGGAGAAGATAACACCCCCATCTTCTCCACTAGCAGAGTCTGACTTTATCTTTTCCTTGACTTGCTACAAAATTCCAGGGCTATCTTACTAGGGGCTCCAAGTGTTCTTCACTCAAAGGCCAGAAATGGCTCTGGATTGTAAAAGCATGATCCCCAAATAAGCCAGAAAACATATTCTTGTGACTTTGGGGTGGGCTTAGGTTACAATATTCCAGAAGCATCAGTTTATATCTGACCATGGTTTTAAAGGCTAACTTGTATTTTTACCACCCTTCTGATAAGTTGGTGGCTTGTCCAATTCAATATTCACATTGGCTCCAATGTGATGGTGTACAGGGTAGGCCTCTGAAGAGCAAGGCCCTGGTGAGGAGAATCATGGTGCATTTAGACACTTGGATTGGGGAGACCTGGCATAGGGGAAGGAAGTGGCTGTGGACCAGCTCTCCACACAACCAAGGCTCCTTCCCTGGCTGCAGCAGTGAAATGGAGAGTGTGTGGAATTAGTAGATTTGATCTCAACACCAACTTCACCCTTGCTCCAGTGGAGGGAGGGCCAGCCGGGATCCAGTCCTGGACAAGGCCTATGGGACTATAAAGAGCTTCTGAGAAATCATATTGACACTTTCTTTAGCCAGGAAACATGGAGGCGCCAGCCTGCAAGGCTTTCTCAGCCTGAAATTTTCCACCTTAAGTTACCTAAAGTCCACACTTTGAATGCCACCAATTAGAGAATTGCTGAAAATGCTGGGAATTACTCCACTTGCAGAATGGAATCTCCTCCTTCCTGAGAGAACCCTTTGTTTCTGGCAACTTTAGCTTGACTTGAATACACATCTGAGATCTCCCTGTGAGGTGGGTGGGTCTGGAGTCTAGGCCCAGATTGGTTAAATGCAGAGCTAGATTTAGGGGCTTGGAGAACTGGAGGAGGAGATTGGGGGAGGCGACCAAAGGGAACACAGAGGCAGTAACTATAGTTCTGCTTGCACTTGCAGCGACCCCATGGCCTTCCAGAGCCCCGAAGGAGCCACTTCCTCAGGGAGGCTTCCCTCAGGTAGACAACTACAGTTACTGAGAGAGAAGAGGCAGGGAGGACAGTCCCAAGGCCCCAGTGACCTCCTGTTACCCAGGGAAGCCCTGGAAGTAGGTGGTTTACCATCCCTCATGGAGCAAGCTTCCTACTAAGGGAAGCAGGGGCCATTTCCTGTTGGAAGGCAGAATGGGGAGCCTGTGCCTGGGCCTGCAAACCACCATGGTATCCCTGTGCTTCTCCTCTGGACCTCTCCTGATGCCAGGGTTTCCAGGAAGCCTTCCCAGCTGTGACACTGTCCTCCAGTGTGCTGTGTATGCAAAGCCCAGGTCAAGTGCATGTAGCCAAGCACAGGGGACAGATAAAAAGGCCCATGCTTGCCAAAGGTCACCAATCAGCTGCCCACATGATTCATTTTCCGCCCTGTTCCCAACCTGCTCTCCTTCCTGAGTCTCCACTCACTGCTGGTCTTTTTCCATTTGTGTTTTCACATTGGATTTCCGACACATTCCCCTGGGCCCTCTGCCCTAACTAATCAGATACCCTCTTCCTCACCTTGCCTTCCCCTAATGGATCCTTTCAGCGCGGGTAGCCTGTAACCTTTACTCCTTCAGTCGCATTCATCTGACATATGTTTTCCAGAGTGTCTGCTTTGTGCTGGGCACTGTGGAAGGCACTGGGAACACACATATATGAATAATGAAAACACAGCATAGTGCACAATAAGCATAGGGGATGTGGGAATGGCTGAGCTGAATCTGAAAGGAAAAATAACATTTCAGGCTAGGAAGAGAGGAAATGCGGTTCCAGGCAGAGTAAACTGTTGTGAAAGCACAGAAGTCAGTGAGTAGAGGCAGCAGCAGCTTTTGGAGAACAATGTTGCCTGCAACCACTTCACCACCCCACTCTACCTACAGGCAGCTGTGCATGTGCTTTCTCAGCTCTCTGTACTTTGACGACTCATGCTTCCCACTACGTCCCTGCATCCTTGGATCCTGGTATGCAGTAGGTGCTCAGGCAAAGATGATGAAATGAATGCTGATGCTGGACAGTCACAGGGTACTAACAAACAAGCAGTTCTTCTTCTTCCCTTGCCTCAAACCAGGCAACTCATGTCTGCAGGAACAATGATCCTTTCTTTCCAAGTTTCTAATAGCTGCCAGCATTTTCTGTGGGTACACATACTCCCATTTTCCTACCAATCATTGACATATTGAGGTTTTTTTGTGTCTTATTATAAAACAACTTATACCATGCTTGCACAGTTCTAGGATGTGAGATGAACCATCTATTTAATAACATGTTTTCAAGGGAAAAACCCTGCATGAATCAATGTACTTACGCATCTTAAGATCTATACTCTTTCATAAATATTACCATGTACAGGAGAAGGTGCATCTT